GAGCAGTGGCCGCGGACTGTGGCTGGCTGGACTGAGAGAGGAGGTAGCGATCTGCAGCAGAGCCATCGAAACTGTGACGAAGCTCAGAGACCCCGTCCAAGACAGGAGAGAGTTTACTTCTCTGGACGTCCCCTGGTGAGTCCTTGGAGTCAGGAAAATTGTCTGTATCTGACTGATTCGTCATCCCCCTGGTAATTTTTTTCAAAGGTGAACTTCTCTCCAGGTTGTCAGTGGTCGAGATAATGGGATGATCGTGCAAGACAAGCTCGGATCCGCCTGAATGTGGGTAGCTGCTGCTCACATTGAGAAATTTCTTGGAGAGCATGATAGAAGGAGAAAGGCAGTGCTCCAGCTGCATAGCTCTAGAACCTGAACACTCGCCCTCCCGTCCCTGGTTTTTAAAGTCCTATTTATCATAAACTAGAAATCCACAGACCCCCTCACTAGACAGAAAGCACTTCACCCAGCAAATGCTTCTCAAAGGTTTGATTTACTTTTTTTTTCCCTGGGAGAAGAGATTGGCCAATTGACACTATGCAGCAATCAGAAAAGGCTCACTTTTGATCTCGCTGCTTGTGCAGCCGATGAAACGGCTCCTGCCATTGGTTAACTGCTGACAGTAATTTAATTAGATAGACATTAATTAGGATAATCACCTGGCTCCTGGTCGCGACGATCATGGCAAATTGAAGGGGATGATTTTATTGTTGGCTTGGGGGGTGGGGAATGCGTGTGGGTTTACGTGAGCACTGTTGTGTCACCTTTAAGCTTTGTGACCACTGCTTTACGAAGATTCAAAGATGTGCAATTTACTAAACATCTCCTACCTCCCCCCCCCCCGCCCCCTCGCAGACCCTTCAGAGCGGAGGAGGGAATTCGACGATGCGAGGAGACTTTTCAGATCAGAATGAGCCAAATATTCAGTTGAATGTAACGATTTCAAGTGCAAAGTATACAAAGCGAGAGCCGGTGGCCTCTTCTCGCCCTGTAAAAGTTCCAGAGTCTGTCTTTTCCAGTTAATACGGAAGCACACGACACCTGAGCCGGGCTTGGCGCGCGGGTCCTGCGTGTGCTCGGCGCCCCCAACGCCGCACCTTTTAAACTACGTACATAAATAAATCGCCGCCGCTGAGAGCCGCAGCGGCGGGCGGGAGGGGCCGGGTGGGGGCGGGCAGCAGCGCACCCACCCATCCACCCACCTCGGGAAGGTTCGGTTTCTGGGTTGAGCATGGGAACGGTGACAATCTATGATCTCCTTTTTAAGTTTTGAAATAATCATAAGCTGTCGGACTGAAGTGCCTTAATGTATCTGCAGTGATGTTTACCGGGTCTTTACTAAATATTTTATCAGCTAACTTGGTCGCAGATTATCTGAAGAGCATCTAACTGGGGGCAGGCGCCATACATCCTTTGCTGCATCCCACTGCACTTCCTTTCTCTCTGAAGTACTGGCTTGGAGACAGGTTCAGAAGCCTCGCCAGAAGAGAGGGCTGAGGCCCCGGTGCAAATGGGTTCGCCAGTAGCGCTGATATGGGGAGGCAGGATGGATAGTGGTGTCACCACTGCGATCTGAGTGAGGACTCTGTGTGCGTGTGTGTGTGTGCGTGTGTGTGTGTGTGTGTGTGTGTGTGGTGTTTATATAATCTGGAAGGGAGAAAAAGGATCCCTGCCAGTAATTTTAAAAGAAGGAGGACTCTAAGGAGGAATAGAGAAAAGAACCAATTTTAAGAGGATGTTGGCAAAAATAAATAGCACGAGGCCCAAAGCGACTCTGAGGAGTAGGTAGAAAAGATCTCCCGGTACCATCAACTCTGGAGCCCTGTCCTTGGCTAGGACCAGAGCGGCAAAGGCTTAAAGGCTTTATCTGTCCAGAGCTGCTTCCCGTGGCCGGCCTCCTACTCCTCCCTCCCACGGCTTCGCTCCCCGGACGCAGAGCCCCTCGAGGAGGGGGAGGAGGAGGAACGCAGCAGCGCCAGGTCTCAGAGCGGCCGCGCGAGCCGGCGCTGACCCCAGGGGCACATCCTGCAACCTGGGAGCTCGGTCAGGCAAAGCCTGTGTCTTTGAGCGAGCGCGTCCGCTCCTCCGTGGACTGAGGCAGCTCCGCCAGACACAGCGGCGCTGGGGACGTTGGGTGGGTGCCGGGCATGGGCGGAGAGGGGTTAACCGGACTCTCAGATTCGCTGCTGTAGTGCATTTTTAGAGCAGCGAGCGGTGGGCCGAGCGGTCAGCGAATGAGTCCAGACTGAGCCGTACCCCGAGGCGGGCTGGGTGCCTTGGTTGCAGAGGGTACCAGCTGCGGCCTCCAGCAGGGCGCCGCGAGCAATACGAGGCGCGGGCGGCCCAGGGCTGGACAGGTTGATGACCAGATGTCCCATACTCAAGCCGAGAGATTTTCTAGGAGAAAAATTAAACCAGATCCATTTTTTCCTTTCAAAAGCAAACCTCAGCTCCTAACCAAGAGTGTTCATTGAACAAACCTGTCTTAGCTGCTGAGGCTTGGGGTGCAGGAGAGGGGAGAGTAGCAATGACATCATTTGACATTTGTTTTCCTACCCTTGAACTTACTCAGCTTGTGCCTTACTTTGCACATTTCTGTCTTCTTTCTTTATTGTTAACTTCTCTGTCCCTGAATACCTGTCCTCTGCTGCTTCTAAGGGTACCTTCCTCCGGCCTCAGTACCACACAGCCTTCAGTGTGCAGCACACAGTGTGACTACCTGGGCTCCTTTTGAGGCTCTGTCATTCCTGACAACCTAGACTGGCTTCTTAGAACAAATGAAGAATGCTAAATTGAAATGCTTAAGTGTTCAGAGATAGAAAAGGGATACAATGCACCTTCCTCTGAGTTATTAAGGAATTGAATAAGATAAATGTGCACCCTGTCCTACTTTGGATTATCATTAATAAATTCAGTGATTCCTCACATAGGCTATGCCTTGAATTTATATACATGCACAAGAAGGAAAAGGTTTCCTTAGGATCACACCCACCTGTGTACCATAATTCTGTAGACCAGGGATCCTCAGACGTTAAGATGTACTATGAACCACATCATGAACCCTGATTGTGATTCAGTAAGTCTGGGGTTGGGCTGGCATTCTGTACATGCAACCAGCTTCCCTAAGACCCAGATGCTATTGGTCCAGGCAGATTACACTTTTGAATAGTAAGCTTTCAATGCCCCATACTAGCCTGAGATTAAGGCAGGGACATTTCTACACTGGAGACAAGTGTAATTTTGGCTCCAGAGCTGTTTTAACTATGGGTAAAGATGCTCACAAAAGCATACCTTTGCGTGCACACACTTAGGAGTCCTGTGCATGAAGTTTGTATTCCTTAAATAATTTTTTTTTTTTAAAAAGCATGTATTGAGCTTGTGATTAAACAAGTTGTCTCAAAGCTTAACTGGGCCTGGGCCATCGTGCTGCTGCAAAAATAGTTGTACATTTCCAAGACAAAGGTGTTCACTGGGCCTCTCTTTAAGGAATCCTGATTTTGATCAACTCTAAATCTACAAAGAAAATATAAGTTTTGCTAGGAGAGATTGTGACGAGATTCTGAGAGTGGAAATGTCTCCAACATGAACCAAGTGGGAGGAAGTAGCTTTGAGGTATCCAAAAAAAATATGGTGATCAAACGAGGGCAAAAGGTGCTGTTTAAGCCTTTAAAATCATAGTCCTCAGAATGATTTTTCAGGGCACTGAGTGAAAAAAGGAAACAACTTCCCATCTGAGTATTGAGAATAGTTCTTCTGAGGGTGCAATGTAAAAAAAAAAAACAAAAAACAAAAAACAAAAAAACCCAAACTTGGCTAGCTCCAATCAACACTATCTGTGAAATTAATTATATATCTTTTACCTGTAAGGGAAAATACCACATATCCCAAAAATCTGCACATAAGATTGCATTAGGAAACAGGAAAACTTACACTAATTTCCACTTATATTTTAATTTTAGATGGTTAGATATAATCCCAATGACTTAAATGGTATATATTACATGTCCTATATAACATATACTATCACTATATCTAAAAGAGGAAACAACAGGACAAGCAAGAAATGCTCAGAACACCTCTTATTCTTCCAAAAAGACACTGAAACATACTGGGAATTTAAGCCATTTCCATTTTCAGTTTCTGGATACTTCATTAGGCAACCAGTAAGAGTGTAGAATTGTTCAAATAGGACAGTAATGTAGCCTACCAAAGCATTCATAATAAATCTAGTAGGTTCTGTCTGAAAATTGTCCTTTAATAAAGCCTTAGAAGTAATCTCAGCCTATTTTCAGAAGGAAGGGTACGCAGACTAGAATTAAACCTTAGTCTATCTCTGTATCTTTTGCCTTACTCTTTGGTGTACCCAGAATGGTGCTGTACCATGAGTATTATCAGGGTCAGCTTTCATTGGACATAGTTGGAAGTAGGTTGCAAAAAACGTCATCTATGAAAATTGCCATTAGTCAATTTGTTTTCTCTTTCAGAAAACTGCATACTTCTAAATTAGTTTGGGAAAGATGAGAGCAAATAGTAATAGATAAGCTCGTGACATTAAATGCACACTATGGCTACTCTTTTAATTTTGCTTTGAAGACATTTTATAACTTCTCTGGCTTAGATGAAAGTCTAGTCCCAGACAGTCTCAAAACCGTTGGTGGAATGGACTCTTAAAACACGATAAAGTCTAAATTAGACTTTCTTCTTCAATGTATTCCTTGGAAATCCTGAAAGTACAATATTTTTAACAAGATACTGAGTATATAGTATTAACTTGTGAGATATGTTTTTAATAAAATATGTCAGCATTTTTTCTGGGTTACTGACGAAGTAGCCACTTATTAATGGCAATCATTTTACATCTGTGAAGTTTTGTTATTACATTCATGTTTTATGATTTGTAAGGTTTGTAAATGTAAAGGGAAACATATCTGTGTGAGATTTCCAGAACACTGTCAAATGTTAGTCTGTCAATTCCATCCAGTGCCAAAAGACCTCAGGAGACATAGATTGTAAATGTATTTTATTTTGTAAGCAACAATCAAAATATATTTGCGCTACTGATTTCTTCAAATATTAAATGGGATCTTAACAAAATTTGTCCACTTTGATGTATTCTTGTACAACTTTGGAATCTGCAAAGACCCTGACTAAAGAAACAGAAGTAATTGCACAACCAAGACGGAAGGTGTTATACTGCTGTGAATGATGCCAGATGTATTACACTTAACCAAATACACCTTCAGAGGTCCCTTGATTTTGAGCATTAGGAACAACAGAAGAATATACATTGAAAGTATCACTAATAGCTTTTGGTGTTGCTTTATTTAAATACAACAGTATCCAACATAGCTGCTAAACACTGGACAATATTTGAAGTCATAAGTACATCCACATGTTCCTCCAAATGACGTTTGGGGTCCTAAAAGAAAAAGAAAAAAGAACTATGTTATTGGCAAATTAATATTTTTTTTCAGTAGCTAATGAAATTAGTAAAGAAAGGTAGTCCTTAATGTATATATTTACAAGTATTTTACAATTCAACTTTCCCAATATACTGTAACAGTCTTAGGATCACTAAATCTGCTAAAAAGTTAACTAGCTAATTAAAAAATAAAATCAAAGACTGATCAACTATGACTTAACTCTATATACCAGAAATTTTTATAAAGAGTAAAAAGGAATTCTATATAGTTCACAATCATTTGATTTTTGAAGAGTGATTGTATGTGTGCATATACATGCCTGGGAATGTGTGTGTACATTCTTTGCCATTCAGATATCTTGAATGTCTGAGGGGTTCTTATATTCAAAGATGACATATCAATAGTTCAGTGTGAATTCTCATTACTTCTACATCTTGGTAAAAATCAGAAATCTGTAATTTCAGTATTTTTAAGAGTAGTATTTTAAATGATTCAGGAATTATTTGCAGATCAAAAGTCACTATCAATGGTTAAAATTTTACATACAATTTGGATTTATTCTAAAGTGTTAAAGAATAAATGTTTTATGCAGTGCAACAAAAATGTATCATAGATAATTATATAGGTGTAATCTGTATCTTAAGCCTGATCAAATCTATTTTTGAAATAGATTGCATTGAAAACAGGGCTTAAAATGCATTGTAATAAAGGAATTTAAAATACTTAATTTATATTTATATTTAAAGCAGACTGAATTAGTTCAGTTAAATTTGAAAGCTTTAAAATAAAGGATATATACTGATATAATAAAAAGCTTTAAATCATTTTTATTATGAATATTGATAAAATGCCAAAGACTCCTAACTTTAAACAAATGTTTACCACAGAAATTATTTCTTAGCTGAGCTTTTCTAACCTATAATTTCAATATGTTGATTTCTTTAAGCAATGCAGAGATATAGCACGTTGCAAATAATTTCAAGTAACTAGATCACAATCTTATTATATTTCAGAAAATAAGCTTTAGGGCATTTTAGGTGAAAGAAATTGGGAAATAATGGCAGGGAAAAAATATGTAGTTTGATTTCATTATAGACAGTTTTGCTTTGTCACACAATAGGCCAAACCAGTGGGGTACTTATTACTACACTTTGAAAAGTGATTATACATTTTTTAGTTTACTTTTAATTTTGGCCCCTTTATTTGCTGTTAAAATGTATATTGAGAAACTATAGCCTTAGGCAGTAATTTATTCAAGAGGTAGTTCCTGAATTCAGATGCAGGATAAGGCTCCAAAGTGGTAACCTAATATTATACATTGCATTCAAATAAGTAGTGGAAAAAGGCAACAAAGATGATATCATAAAATGAGAAAATAAGATGAACTATATTTCATTTTGATTTTTGGAGTGGGTACTTGCTTTTAAATTACAATATTCAGAATGTAGCGAGATTTAATAGCCTTATTTATGCTATATGATAAATTCAGACCTTTGCCCTACCATTCTATTGAAGCAATTGATTTTATAGTGAATTGGTAACTCGTTTATCAGTTATCTACATTACTTCTTGTGGCAGCTGGGTGATTCTTAGAGATTTCCCATCCAAGAATGGTCCTGGCCCAAACCTACATAGCTTGTGAGATGTGATGGGATCAGAGCATATGGTAGGATGGCTGAAAGCAAAGACAGCTTAGTGTCTTGCATCTGAAATATCAAGATTCTGCCAACATCAGCAATATGATAACCATGTTCCATGAAATGAAAAAAATGTAACCAACATTCTTTAAAAAACAGTCTAATTAATCTGTAGATTCCTTTAATTGGTTAGTGTGTAACTCCCCCCTCAAATAATAGGGATTAAAATATATTTTTCATCTTAGAAAAGTACAAGAATAAATGCTTAAAACCCTTTCTCTTCACTTTGTTTAGCCAAATAGGCCTCTAAGCTTTCTCAGGTACATTTCCTACATATTTACAAAGTGTATAATTTTTAAAGGACTATTACATATGGAATATATTTACCATTCTTGATCTATATTAAAAATAATACTTGAAAAATTAACTCAATATCCTTCAAGTATCCTAATTTATTTCTAGTAAATTATTTTCACTAAAGATTGGATCTTATAGGTATAATTAGATTTGTGATTTACCTCTCCATAGATGGCAAACAGAATTCGACATAAATAAATTCAGTGACCTTTAAAATTAGTATCGCACTTACATGACAGAAGAAAAAATACAGTGACTACCCAGGAAAAAAATCATATAGGCCCTAAAGCAGCTTTAACTCTACAAGAGCAGGTTATTATGCAGCTGTATAACCTATCACAGTACACCCTACCTGCTTGCCAACATTCTTTATTGCCAGCTGTTCAGGTGTCATCTTATCTTCTTCTTCTACAGCCTGTGAATGAAACACAAAGGACAGAGTTTCAAATTCTAAATTTACTCTCTCCACTGCAGAATAAACATTAAAGATAATAGTGATCATAGTTTTCATTCAAAGAACCTTTTATTTACAGAACTTATCAAACAAAAATTTTGCTTATCTTCAGAATAACATTCAGAGAATTAACAGTATCATTTTGAGATATGTAACAGAGGTATGTAAAAAATATTGAAGATATTGATTCAGATCACTAGATGATACTGTTAACCATCTGGAAACTGCTATTAAATCATTTGAGAACTGAGGTGATGTAAGCATCTGAGGGTAGCATACTAATGGCACTGTGGTACTAACTAGTTCTGTTCTGTCTTCTTTTCCTACTTTCACAGTAGTTCTACCCCAACTTCCCATTTCTTTGTCTCCTCCCATTTTTTTTCCTGCCAATACCAATATGTATTCAGTACCTATTTAACTATCAGTAGCACCAAGGATAAGGATCAAAGGAGCTGCCAACTTACAATCCACTAAACTAATCACAACTTAATCTCTCTTCACATCTTCAAATCTCTAAAATACATGTAAGCCAGAAAAAAAAAGTTCACTATTTCAAATGAGGAATCTTTAAAAACCAAGTAGAAATAAAATTAATTTTCAGTGTTAAACATCAAAATAATTACTTGAATTGAAAACAAAATTAAAGATTGTATCAAAATAATATATGTAAGTCATTTTTACTACTTTCAGAACATTTCAAACTCTTATGTATATGATCATAAACTTTCTAGCAGAGCGATTTGAAATAATTACATTTAGATTAGCCCCCACCACTATCCTTTTCTCCAATAATGGCACCAACACAAAAACCTCTTTATTAATAAGAATTTCAAATTTCGGGAACCTTTCCTTAACAGTTTATGTACTTAACAGTACAAAAACAGTTGTTTATGTACTGAAGACAGGACTCTATATTAGGTGAACTCCTGGTCTATGATTCATTCATAGCATTTGATATAAATGGAAAACAGAAAAGGATTACCACCATTAAGCAATGTCACCACAGCATTTACACAAGGTAGTTAAAAAAGGAGACAGAAAGCAGGAAATCAAAATCCCAGTGAGGGTTAGATTTGGATATTCCAAACTTAATAATCTCACAGCTGCCAAATTTCTTCATGTGTGAACAATGAACATGTAGGAAATGCAATCATCAGACATTTCCCATAAACTGGGAAGTTTGGCTGCATTTCACACCTTCTTAATAGTTTTGTAAACAGAGAACTTGAAAATGAGCAAAGATGGCAAGTGTCTAATTTTATAAATGGACAAACTATCTGGAGAATTTTCTCCAGCAGAACCTGCTTAAAGTGAAAAGATGGTGAATAAGTATTGTATCTACTGATTATTAGAAGATACTTATTTATAACATATCATTAGAAAATATATTTATGACTCATCAACCTGAAAGAAGGAAAAATAAAAGTCAGTAACATCCCAAATTTAGAATTCCCTAGACAGAGAATATGTTCATTTTCAGAGTCAGATATCACTCTATTATTCTCAGCTAGTTATAAAGGTATTTTCTAACTTGGAAATTGCTTCTCCCCTATTAGATGTTTTACATAAATGGAAACACTGACAACACATTAAGAGTCTGTCTTTTTAAATTACTTTTATAAATTGTGACATTGTATCGACTTAACAGCATATTAAATGAATGAAACAAGTCACATAAGTTTGTACTCCATATCCATTCAGTGTTCTATGCACATGCCAACAACAGTACTTACTACAGTATTGGAAGGAGGCAAGAGTTTTGGAATTTGGCTCACAATACCAATCCTAATTCAAAATCATTATTAGGGAGTTATTTTGGGTTATTGCAAATATCAAAGATGACAGATACACAAAGATGAAGGTCAAGAAGCATTTAAAGTACTAATGTTATTTGAAAGGCTAAATAGAGTGTAAAAAGCTCTAGCTCAAATTTTAAAAAACTTTTACATCATTTAACCACTTCACCAATTAGTTTTTCCATTCTCAATAATTAAAAGAGAGAGTTCACAAACTCTTAGAGAAGTGCAGATGGTAAAAAGTACTCCCAGCCATAGATACCATCTGGGAAATGAGGAGCAGCTGTAGATTTAGGCATAGACTAAGGTTGTAAACCCCCACGACAAAAGAGTAAGCACATCTCTTCCATTCTAAGATAGACCAGATCGTTACTTCAAACTCCTAAATATTTTCTCTATCTACCTAAGTTACCTATCTCATTTACCATCTGGGCAAGATCAGTTTGTCTTCATTCACAGTTCTAATCTGGCTAGTCACCAGGGAAAAGTAAGAAATGGTAGCAGCAGAAACAAATGAAATTCAGGCACAGGCAGTGTCCTCACTAGGGAACTTCTGTGTTTATGGCAACTTCTGTGATTTGGCTTCAAATTTTGCTTTTGCATTCGTGCTCTTTGGTTTACTCAACCAACAAAAAAGCACTGAAAATGTTTGTGGCTATTCACACTAGAAACGTTTTTAACAGTTTATCAACAAAGACCCCCAGATGGCTATCCCATCATGCACGGTCTGTACAGTTCTAAGAAATTCTTGGAATTTGGTCTGTAATGTGATCATAATCCCCTCAGATGTACCCCTTATTTTAAAGAGGCTCTTACTAAACCCACTAACCACATTCTCACTTTATTTTTTTTTTAATTTTTGCTAATGGTCAAGTTTCTAAAATGAAAATTTGTGACTCCAATTCCATCATTTCATTTATCCTTTAACAAACAGGAATTAGATTCTTGGCACTTAATAACACTCTTCCAAGGATTCCCACCAGATCAATTCCAATGGACTCATCTTTCCTGAACTATCAGAACACATTTAGAACCAGGTCAACATCTTTTTTTTTATCCCTTTAACCTTTGCTTGATATATCTTCTATTCCATTCATATTTTTCTGATTATTACTTGCGTTTCTTTTTTGCCCATTTATATATTAACTCTTAAAAGCACATGCTTTCTGGTCGGCACTGTGGCATAGCGGGTAAAGTAGCTGTCTGCAATGCCGGCATCCTATATGAGCGCTGGTTCAAGACCCTGCTGCTCCAGTTCCAATCCAGCTCTCTGCTATGGCCTGCGAAAACAGTGGAAGATGGCCCGAGTCCTTGGGTCCCTGCTCTTGCATAGGAGACCTGGAGGAAGCCCCTGGCTCCTGGCTTCAGATCAGCGCAGCGCTGGCCATTGTGGCCACTTGGGGAGTGAACCAGCGGATGGAAGACCTCTCTCTCTTTCTCTCCCTCTCTCCCTCTCCCTCTCTCTCCGTCTTTCTCCCTCTCCTCCTCCCTCTCTTTCTCCCCCACCCCCCCGCCTCTGTCTCTCCCTCTCTGTAACTTTGCCTTTCAAATAAATAAATAAATAAATAAATCTTTAAAAAAACAAAAAAGCATATGCTTTCTAACACCATCAACACAGCAACCGTTTTATGAAATAAAGTGCAAACTGCTAAAATGGCACATGTTAAGTCTTCACTGTTACACAGTATCTATATAACTGTTAGTGGATATCAAGACAAGTATTTTTCTGCTTTTGTGAATTTTATGTTCATTTTTTATACTGACTACATATAGCTCAAAACAACACTATGGGTGATGGAGGTTAACATACTTGGGAAAGCAACATTAACAAACATGACACAACTAGAAAATGATCTGAATAGGAATAAGGCTTGATTATGAAGAATATTGTCACTAATAAACATTATTTCTTTTTTTTACAAATACTTATTTACAGAATCCTTACAACATCTCATTGAAGTAATCTACCCTTTACAGATGAAGAAATTAGGCACCATTATCTTCAGTTATATTCATTCCAGCAATACTTCTATCACAAAAGGAATTTTTCAAATTCTTCTTGCTCTCAAGGAATTTACATCTGAGCTTCACTTGCTTGTAAATCTCAAATTTAATGCAGCATAAACATACAAAATGGAAATGTGCACAAAGAATGATGGTGACATAAAGGTAAGTAAATGTGGGCCGTGTTGTGACATAGCAGATACCTGCAATGCTGACATCACAAGACGGGCGCTGGTTAGTCTTGGCTGCTCCACTTCTGATCCAGCTCCCTGTTAATGCACCTGGGAAAGCAACAGAGTGCCAAAGTGCTTGGGCCCCTGCATCCATGTGGGAGCTCTGGAAGAAGCTCCGGGCTCCTTGCTGTGGCCTTGCATAGCCCCGGCCATTGCAGCCATCTGGGGAATGAACCAGTGGATGGAAAACGACTCTGTTTCTCCCTCTCTCTCATTCTTTCACATAAATAAAATAAATCTTAAATATATATATACATATATATATATGGGGGAGGAGTAAGTAAGTGTACCTAACTTCTCCTTGTGCATTGCCTAGGGAAAGGGAGCAAAGAGTAGGCAGTATTCACTAAGGAAGAACCCATCATTTGGTACTTAGTGGTAACAGGAAAAGAAAAAGATCCTGGAACTAACTGACTGTGGGAGACGAAGAGATGAATCCAAAGTTTCAAGCCTACATGATACCTAGGAAAATGTGCCACTGACAACCAAACTGGCAGAGGGATTATTCTAAAGAAGTAGCAAGAAGGGCAGACAACACTGGTCACTCATGACAGTATCATTTGAAGAGCGGGGAAAACAGGAATAAATTTCAAGTGAGAGCAAAGAAATAAATTCCAAAGTTGTTAGCATGGCTAACCCATGAAAAAACAGACTTTTTTTTAAGGTATAAAAACAGAAGAAGGCCGGCGCCGTGGCTCAGTAGGCTAATCCTCCACCTTGCGGCGCCGGCACACCGGGTTCTAGTCCCGGTTAGGGCGCCGGATTCTGTCCCGGTTGCCCCTCTTCCAGGCCAGCTCTCTGCTATGGTCAGGGAGTGCAGTGGAGGATGGCCCAGGTGCTTGGGCCCTGCACCCCATGGGAGACCAGGAAAAGCACCTGGATCCTGGCTCCTGCCATCAGATCAGCACGGTGCGCCGGCTGCAGCGGC